CTTATTTTCACAATTCAACAAAACGTAATTTAACCAGGGGCGTCCAAACTTTTGCATACAAATGTATTAATATCAAGCTTTTAAACCCTGCAAGTATTGTAGTAGTACTCATGTCATTTTAAAATTTTGGTTGAAAACAAAAGGGTTGAATTCCTGAAACACCCCAAGGAAATTTTTTCAGGTTATTTATTGTTCTCTGTGGTATTTAGATAGATAAGCAAAGCAGACTCTCCCTTTGATTAGGCCTCCAGGAGCTGAACTGAAGATTTACTCTCTTTATAAGACTGTCATTGTCTACACAAAATCTGCAGAAAAGGGAGGAAATAAGAAAATGTATCATTCACACTAGAAACATTTCATGTGATCGCAAACCTGTGTAATATTAACACAATGAAGTACGTAACAACAGATATAGGAACATGCGCACCTGCAAGAAAGCAGTAAATTACAACAAGTGATTACAATTAATTAATCTACACTGGCCACTTTTTAGAAATACCCCCATATGTATATACCCACTGTCCACTTTATTAGAAACACCTACCTTGTACTTCCCCTCACTGTCCACTTTATTAGAAACATGTACTTCCACCCACTGTCCACTTTATTAGAAACACCTACCTTGTACTTCCCCTCACTGGCCACTTTATTAGAAACATGTACCTTGTACTTCCCCTCACTGTCCACTTTATTAGAAACACCTACCTTGTACTTGCTCTCACTGGCCACTTTATTAGAAACACCTACCTTGTACTTCCACTCACTGTCCACTTTATTAGAAACACCTACCTTGAACGTTCCCTCACTGGCCACTTTATTAGAAACACCTACCTTGTACTTCCACTCACTGTCTACACACTGTAGCCCATCTGCCGATGCCCAATTTACCAGCCATCCTCCACTCCATTCATCATTGGATGGCTAACATAAGTTTTTCATTAACAGATGAGCTACAGTCTCTTAACTGTACATCAGCAAGGTGGAGCTACAAAATAAGAAACAAACATGAGTGAGAGCATAAAAATAATAGAGAGAGAACATCAAGCAAGCTCAAACAATAACAAGTACAAAAGAAGCCACTGTAGTCCAAAAATAATTGCCCAGTGAAAACTTTGTACTGTTGTTTAATTCATTTCATTAGATATGGGGGTCATCACTCGAGGGAGACCGTGGCCTGTGTTTATTTTTATCTTTAATTAAATACATATCAATGCTATTCTTACCATGCTGTGCTTACAGTAATGAGGCAGGCACACCTTGGAGGGACGGTATTGCTGCTTAAGGCATTCTGAAGTCCCGCTAGGCCAACTGTCGAGCTGCACCAGAGCGCTGGCTCCATCTCGATCGATACTATTGATCCGAGCTCCGCTGATAGGCACGGGAAGAATAATGAGAGAGGCTGCTCAGATCTGCTACCCAAGCACCCAGCGACAACGGAACCTGACTAACTTTACTTAAGCAAAATGCAGCAGTAGAATATGACTGAAAACTTTAGGACCAACTTCGCCTAGAATTATGGCTTTGGAAATGTCATCACTGTCCTATCAAAACTCTGTAAACAATTCGTGATGAATGGACCAACAGAAATGATCCAAAATCTTACTTACTGAAGTTTTCATTTTGGAGATGAGATTTTGTTACCACAGAGAGGAAGTTATGAGTTTTCCATGTTTTATTTGTTTGTTTATTTTTGGTGAGTTTTAATATTATAATTCTACTAACTGGTTATGGGGAAATGTTTGGAAAGAGGTGAAAACTTCTGCTTGCAATACGTAAAGCATGTTTAAACAAAAAAGTGCACAATCCCAACACTAACAGTAGAGGCCTGTTATTGTTTGGGGACGCAATGAACATAAGAAATTTAAATTGTATTGGTATTCGGTTAATTTCTGGCTAATTCCAGGTTGTTTAGATGTTCTTCTGTCACAGCTGCCGACTGAAAAGCTTGCTCAGTGGTAATGACAGTTTCGGAATTTAGTGTAAAGAGCTGGAGAACGAACTGCTGGCTGTCCTCTGACATAGCAACGAGCTGCTTGTTAAGGAACTATAATTTGGGGGAAGGAATTGCTAACATCAAAACATTAAATGCCACGTTCACAGCCTAATTTATTTATTTCCTACTTCATTAATTTTACTGTTGTATGAAAGCAATATAACATTTGAGGTCGTGTGTTATCATGAAGTCATGGATAATTATGTTACAGTGGGGCAATACATTAAGTCACATGAACAGAACATAATGACATTTACCCTTTGTACTGTAATATATTTCCAAGTGAGATTTTTAGGGAGGCTAGCAATTTTGCTGATTTTCTAAGTGAAAATGAGTCCTCCACAGAGAACACACTTACATTTTAAATTTACAATTTTAGTGTACAATTAGGGTAAAGAAATTAGGGAAAAATTTAGGGAAAAAATAAAACACAAAATGTGCCATAACTTTTGCACAGCCTACATTTTAAGTTTTACTTTTTCCCCTAGTACGTTAAATGCATCAAATAAACAGTAGTATATTAAAGAGTGCAGACGTGTTCTCTGTGGAGGATGTGTTATCTATTTTTTACTTCAAAAACCAACAAAACATGAAATTTGACCAGGGCGCCCAAACTTTTGCATACATCTGTAAGTGGGGCAATGGGGAGGTGGGTTGGGGTGTTTGGTTACTCTATTACCCACAGTGATGCACAAAAAATAGTGTAAAACTTTATTTGAAGGCTACCTACATAGTGACTTCATAACACGTGCATAAGCATTAATTAACATATATTTAAAAAAAAAACAATACTTGAGCATTTGACTCCTGAACAGCTTATGTCAGAATTCACAGGATGATACAAGATGTTTTATGACATAAATGATATTGCACTGTTGTAAGCGGCTTTTAATTATGGACATTTGTAGCATTTATAACACTGTTATGAAGCATTATTCTCAAGTAATAGAACCTATATGGTAGTTCTATATACATATTTTACTATGTGTAAACACAAGTGGTGGACAAAATCTTGGACTGGGAGGAAAGTAGAGGAGATAAACTATTAGAGGAAGCTAATATCAACAAGCTAATAGCTAATAGAAAATCAACAAAACGTATCATTTGACCAGGGGTGCCCAAACTTTTGCATACAACTGTTCATAAACAAATATAGGACTTTTATTATATTGAAATTTTGTACTTTAGCTCAAGCAGAAATACATGCAGCATTCTTGCTATATGCCTCCCATTACTTGGGAATAATGCTTCATAACAGTGTTAAACATTTAACAAATGTCAGTCACTATAGTTTCAGGCCCCGTATGTCAACACAATGTCAATACAATGAAAATAAGTTAATACATTCTCCACAGAAAACACTCATATATGACATTTTCTGCACATTTATTAAAAGCCTTTCTCTAGTTTCTGACCACTGAGTAGTTTTGGTTGGCAGACTAGTTTGATGTACAAGCTGTTCTGTAGGAATCATCTTGGAATTTGATTAGGGATGCCCAATTCACCCCCCATCTGAGTCCTTTGATATAGATTTTCAGCTGATGCTGAGTCTTTTCCAGTCTTTGTGTCCTTTGTCTAAAAGTCATTTTTAGTATGTGCATAACGTCGATTTAAAACCAGATGTGGCAGGCCGCATCCAGTAAAACATTTCTGTGATACTTTCGTTTTCAACTGGTCGCGGCTTGCAAGAGAAAAACGTGGTGGGAGTATATTTTTTTCGTGCTTGTGGCAGAATGTCACTTGTGAAAAGCGGCAAAAAACATGCTAGAACAGCTGCTCACATCTTACATGCCCATGTTTAGACGCACATGCAGTGCAGATATTACACACATTCATTTTCCACATCACAGCAGCTCCAGACTATAGATATTTAAACCACTTCACTGCTGCAGGTTGTAAATAATGCAGTGGTGAACCATGACTATTACACTGTAAAAAGTGGCTCATCAGATCTACTTAAAAAACATTACTTAATGTGGTAACAGGCAAATGAACTAGTTTATTCAACTCAAAACATTACTTTGATTGAAAGAATCATTGATTCAAATTATTTATTTAGGTTGAATAAAACTAGTTAATTTTCTTGTTACCACATGAAGTTATTTTTTTAAGTAGATCTGATGAGCCACTTTCTACAGTGTAGAGGTGGGCCTTCAGTTTGGGCCATAAATGTCAAAACCTGGTCAAAAACAAGAAAAACACACCCCTGTTATAACACTAATTTTTACTAGCGCTATCAGTGGGATTCTACATGATTGAACATAGACATTTGAAGTTTCTGAAACATTCCATGCTTCATTTGAAGCTTCAACAGACATTAACATTTTACCTTGTAGTAGTTTTACAGTGGCTTTCAGTCCTGACACAGATCTGCCTCTGTTTTACATTTCTGACATATGACTGAAGCGCACTGGTCAGGCTACCACGTTTACTCACTGTCAGTGATGTATCTAGCTCTTCCAGAAGGCCTAGAGTGACGTCTTTCTCACAAAACATGTTAGGCTTCCTATTCAGCTCCTGAAGTCCTAACCAATGGGAGAGCTCACTTGACCGGATCTACCTAGATATCACAGTGGAAAAGAAATCCTGACTGAATAATTTTCAAGAATTTAATCCTTTTGTTTCTAACCAAACTTAACAGTAAACTAAGGCTGTTACTACAATACCTGCAGAGTTTAAGCACAATATGATTCTATTAAATGGCTGATTTATAATAGATTATAATGATTTATTTTGCAGAAATCAAAGGTGTAGAAGACCCGACTGGGAAAATATCAGTTGATGCTGTTTCTACGACAGTGGAATAAACAGAGCAAAAACAAAACAAAGGATTTGAACTAGACTGAGCTTATTTTAACTAGTACCCTATCTAAAAATAAGCCTGGACATCCCTAAATTTAATACTCTAATAGTAAAAAGTACTCTCAAAGGCTTTTTAAGGATCCACATGACACAGATAAACAGAGCAAAGGCAGAAAAGCAAATAAAAGACAGAAAGACAGCAGACTGACAACAGAAAGGGAAGTTTAATTTGTGAATTGAATTCAGTTAAAATCATCGTTACATTCATATACAAGACGTACCACTTAAATTTGGGAGGAGAAATAGAAGCATGGGTTTTAAATCATCTTTAGCGTTATGGCTTTGGGTTTAACTCTGATATGACTGAAACTCTTCATAAAGCTCTGAACGGGAGACAGATATTGAAGCGTTAGAGGTTTAGACAGTTTTTATGACGTCATTAATACTTCAGTAGGTTTGTGTGCATTCGTGTGTAGTGCTGCTGAAGAGCAAAATCCTAAGCGTTAAATGAACACCTGCACAGGAGAGCTTACACTGTTGCTGTAGGTGTTGTTTTAACACAGGGGATTTTGCAGTGCAAGTTTAAATATACCTTCTTATCTTAATGATACATATAGTGGGATGGTAAACAGACATTTACAGTTGCAGGATTTGTATATTACAGAGTGTTCGTTAAATAAAGACCGTCGATTGTTCTCGTTATCACACAGCTGTGCATTTTGGTATAGTTTATAAAAGCCTACGCGCCTTTCTATATCTCTATCTTTACAGAAATAACTCACGTTTGTGCCGCTTTAAATTCAAAGTGTAACTTTAAGAACATACATAATACAAGCTTATAACTATAATAGAATTACTTAGGTTCCTATAGAGTTCTAATATTAAAGGAGTTCACTGATAACATTCTTCAGCATTCAGAATCAGTTTAAATATTCAATAATATCATTAAAACGACATATGAGGTGAGTTATCGATGCAACTCCCTTTTAAAATAGCAAAAAAGAAAAACAAAAACGTTAAAATCCACAGGACAGTGTTTCAACAGAGATGGAGATGCAAAGCATAAATCTTCTACATTGGCTTCAGTCATAACTGGTCACAATCGTAATCTATAGTGATTGATATGAGTAATTTCAACACGTACATTCGTTCACGACACAGTGCTTTCTGATTGGTTGGTGGAAGTGGTGACCGCGGCTACGGAACAACAACAACGTCAGCACATGGTTCAAAAAGGAAAGATAAATTGATCAATAAAACCACACCATCTGCGTTATTCACTACCTGAATGTGTGTGTGTGTGTGTGTTGGTAAATGTGTGTCTATGTGGACACATACGCAGATAGTGGACAATTGATGTTTTGTAGCAACAACACCCATAAGCTAGATGTTTTACCAATATTTGCCAAAAAAGAACCCATCAATAAGACAAACAGTGATTCTTTACCGAAGAGCACGACATTAGGACCCTTTATAACGTGAAACTACAGTCTACGATTGTGCAGACTTCCACAGGTCTTCTTTCTGGCTGAGAAGAGCCCAACTTAACCTGCTTCTGTCTTAATGCAGCACTTATAGTACTGTATATACAAGATATGATTAATATATGATAGAGTCCACATGTAGTGCCCCTCAAAAAAAAACAAAAAAAACAAAAAAAAAAAAGAAAAAGCTACCATAATGTGGGCGAGCACACGTACAACAATGATTAGATATTTTACACCCAGGATGCTCTTGATACCCTCAGTCGATCAGAACCTGACAGTGACTGGTTTGGCCAGTTAGAAGTTGAGTGTCTCTGACATCATCTTCCACCAATCCATGAGCTCCTCCTTCTCTTCCTCCTTCCTTTCCTCCAATGACTCCAACTCAAAGTCAAGCTAAGAGGAAAGAGTATGAAAAAGATTTTTTTTCCATACACAAATTAACAAATACACATTTACTGAAAGAGCTCCTTATAGTGATGCACATTTGTTGTGATAGTAGCCAGTACAACATTTCACACACAACACTAAGAGTGAGAATCATTACATTTTAAGTATTTCTACAGGCTAGATGTTCAAGACAGAGTGATTTTTTTAGCTGTGCATCAAGGCTGGGTAGTAACAGAATACATGTATTGTAATCAAGATACAAAAAAAGGTAACTGAAATCCGTTACAGTTACAGAAAAAACACAGTAATCAAAGTACAGGTACATTATAAAAACAACAAAGCAGGAATACATTCAAACCACATAAAATCTAGGGAAGTTTTAGTTCTGCCTATTTTTAATGGCAGAGCTACGATCTGCAGCATTTTTCTGAAGATCCTTCGCGTTTCACCTGGTTTCCCATCTTGCCTGATTCTTCAGTAGTAAACTCATTTGATGGTAAACTCTTCTATTCTTCTTTCTTGCTCCATAAATTACACACTTTGTCTGACTATGAATCGAACTTTTGCTGGATTTTAATGCTGAAGTGAGCAAACATTAACAAAGAGCTCCCAAATGTGAAAGAAAGCACTGTCACATGACTGGTAGAGTTAGTTTCATTTTCACATATATGATTTCTTTCTTCAAAATGTTTTGAATGATGGGAGCAAAATATTAATATGTGTAAATTATTATTTGTTACTAAAAGAATAAGCTCTGACTTGAGTTTTCATGTGAAATTACACCTTTTTAAACTAGTATAAACTAGTACTATACATTGACTTCTGTGGGCTGAGGGAGTGACTACATATTACATTGCAAATGTGATCATCCCAAGCAGCACACAAAGCCTTATAAACAAATACAGGCCTTTTAGCAGATAAAACACAAATGATGGCCAGTCAGAGTTACTAGCATGGTCTCTGTTTATAATTACTGTTGATGAACTTCATACTATTTTTACTGCTCACAAGTACATTTAAACTCACATTTATACTGTACGAATTTGTTATCTTTGTGTAAGAGATATAATCCACTCAGATTTGGCCACTTTGCTCAATGTGAGATCAGTGACCTGGTTTGAGGCACAAAATGAGCTGCTTCATAATTTTTTAACAGCCAATTCTCGAATGAAAGTACAAACAGCAGCAGATGATTGAGTCACCTCTAATCTATCATTTTATTTAATAAAACAGGGCAGTTTTTCTGTTTGCCTTGTGTTAAATTCTTGTTGAAAAAGACTTCCTGAAATGTTTTTTCTTCTGTCTTTATGTAAATATATGACTTTAAAAAGTCACATAGTCCAAAAGTAATGGAAAGTCATCAGATTACTTAATCAGATCAGTTTACAGATTTCAACAGCTAATCAGTATTCTACTAGCTATTCTGCTGAATGGTAAAGTTATTTTCTCTCCATGAGGGAGTGCACAGTTCAAGCCCAGCACAGGAAGTACCTTCTAACACTCTTTTCCTGACAATGTAATTGCGTCACTCTGGCACTGTGCATGTAAATTGATCCGTTCTCTCATCACGTCCCTTAATGGTGTGTTTATCGCAGAAACTCATATCTTCATGCTGATAAAAATATGATTTATCATGCGGCCCTAATTCAAGTGTATTTTTACAAATGGATCGTACCGAAATAATCACATCAAAGTGAATCATGATGAAATTTCAGCCTTCATGAATCATCAAAGTGCTTCATAAAGAATGGTAATGAAATTGAGTGTTGTGAGGTCAGTAAAGGTGTTTACCCGGGTAGCGGCACTGTTGGGGACGGCCACTTTCTTGATTACAGTGAGGTACCCAGGAGCTGACGCAGAAACTTTATAATTACCAGGAGTCAATAAACGCCAGTAATCACCATCCTTAGCTAGAGAGACAAAGAGAGAGACAAAGAGAGAGGGAGAGAAGTGTGTTACCTATAAAATACGAGAATACTGTGTAGAACAAAATACATTTAAATACATTTTTTGATTTAGTGTATTTGCTTAGTTAAAAAGGTCTCCTACCTTTTTTTCAAAATTTACGTCATTTAGAGTGGTTTAATGTGAAATGGTGCATTGTAGAGAAACTTTACACTGGTGATGACCGGAACCAGAGGTTACGATGTACACAGTACGAATATAGCAATTTTATTTACTATCCAAAAACACCAGTGAACCTATACAAGTTTTTTAATATGTAACACATGTAATGTAATATGCAAAATATGATAATTTTGAAAAATACGTTCCTTTTAGGTGCTACTTTGCCTTATCCATTTTAGGCCAAAACCCTATCTAAAATGTTTGTAACCATATCATGTACTAGCTTTTTGTGAGACACCTTTTAGAGGCATTAAATGTTTCAGATGTCTGGTTCCTATCACCACCAATGTGACTCAGCAAGTCTCTCCTGAACAGAGGATTTTACATCAAATTTCTCTGAATAACTTTGTTTTCATCTGAACTATTGAATTATGCAAAAATTTCGGTGGAATTCCCCTTTAACAAAAACACGGCTGCTTTATGATGTGCCAGATTTAGCCAAATTGCTTTCATCTGCTGTCCCTGTGCAGACTGATTTTTACAAATATGAACAATACTTCATATCAAATGGGGAGACTGATCGAACAGTTATCTTGTTGCTGATGTGCTGCTGTAATACTTTAAGCAGCCACCAGGTGGCAGCCTATTCCATCATATTTACTCTAAAGTCTAAGCAGGTTAATTCTCTGCCATGTTCTCCCCATCTAATACCTTGTCACATTTTTTTTAATTAAATGTTTATTTAACATATATACTGAAATGTCATACTCTTGCATTTGTTTACCACCATCATAATGTACATTATGAGAATATTTTCTCCCTTTATGGGAGAACGGAAAAAAGTTCTTAACATCATTTATATGCGTATGTACCTTTTCTACTGGTCCATTAATCAGAAAATGTTCACACAATGCAAAGTGCAGCATGTTTTAAATTGGTTTGATATAATAACAACAATATACAGTACTGTGCAAAAGTCCTAGCAAATGGTAATATATATAAATTACTTTATTGAAAACAATAAGAATTCTTGTTCTGTTCACAGTATTCATGTTTGTCATTTTTTTCTAATGTTATATAGTGATTTTATCACTGAGTTAAATAGTTTTAAACAGTTTTCATGGCTGTCTAAGACATTTGCACAGCATTGTATGGGTGTGTTTGTGTGTGCACCTGTGGTGATGTCGTGGTCGATGCCCTCCACAGAAATAGAGGCATTGGAGATGGGATTGCCCTGAAGATCACGCACAAAGCCTGCTACTCCACGATGAACCTGCCGGAAGACAAGAGGGGTCAAATATACACAAACACTTATATCCTACAACCACAAGTTTTACAAACAGGCCTGTGACCCATGGATGGTTGACTGAGGTACCGCAGTAACAGCGCCCAGTAATGAAAAAAACAAAAAAAAACAAAAAAACATTTATTACCTGTTCATTTATTGATTCTTTCAGGCAAACCACAGCAAGTATTCCTACACATAAACATAACTAAAATTTTAAAGTAGGCTGGGATCTTGCATTAATACCAAATTCATTATACCTAGAATGCATGATTAAGTTGCGCTGATTGAACACACATGGTGCTGCAGGCAGATCTCATGCCTACAAAAACTGCCTACATGGTACAGTGTACATTTTATCATATCCTCAGACAGGGTTGCTGCATAATTTAAAAATTCAGTGCTTTTAAATACCTTTTAATACCCAACTTTTTTTCTGCTGTCCTCTAGTTCTTCATCATTCAGTTTTGACCACATGACTGCTGTTGGCTAGATATTTTGTTTAAGTGTTCTGGATTAGTTTAATATATAAAATAATCCAGTTTTCAACACTGTCTTTAGGCATCATCTTACAGTGTAATTAGGGCCTTCCAGTTCGTTTTCTGACCCCTGATCTGATCAGTTTCCATTAATATTGAGTATCACCCAATAACTGGCCCGATTCACTTTTTGTGTTTTCATAGATAAGAAAGCTGCACAATTTAGTTAAGATTATGTTACTCTGCCAATTAACACCACAACACTACAGGGTGGTTATCTTCTGAAAACGATCCTCACTGCTGCATGTTGTGGAATAATGTCTGTTTAAGACACCTCAATAATGTGAAGTTAACTGCGCAAAAAACAACTGGATTGGGCTTATTTTAGCCGATACCTGATCCTGAACGTGCCCGGACGTCCCTAAATTTACCACATCTAATGGCAAAAAATTAAGACATTTACAGACATTGTATGACCTTAAATTTTCACTATCAGCTTTAAGATTTGGTAAGACTACTCAAGGATCTGTGGGGAGCCTGTCGGACCACAGCGTCAGGTTTCACTGAAAGAAATGTCTCACAGCTTTTGGAAAAACAGTCATGTTTCTGTTCTTCATTACTACATTAATTACACTTTCATGACCAAAATATAAAATGACAACATACTACAACCATAATATTTACTGACCTGTCCTATTATTGTGTTCTTTTATTGGACAACTATTAATTCAACTCACATGCTTCATCTTCAGAGTCACCAGAAGAAAATGATTGTTTATTTTTAGTCATAGTGTCTTTATAAGTACATCATCTAATATGTCTGGACACAGCACTTTTTCTTATGGTGATTTTCAGATGTTCCCTAATTCTGAAGCAGACAAAGTGATAGCGTGTCAGCTGGAGCGCCAATGTTGTCAAATAGGTAAAGCGAAAGAAAAATACCATAGTTTTTCTATACGGTTATTTGAATATGTGCCTGCTACCTGAACTGGCCTACCTACCAACACATCCAATGCACAAATGCTGGTTATCTGAAATCATAGTTTTTGAATAGGAAACTAGAAATGCAAATATGCATCACTATAGACACACACACACTCACCTGCTCTATGTAGTTGATGAGGGAGTTGCGGTTCTGGTCCCAGTACATTTTGAGGGTGTTCTCTGGAGGAAACTTATCACAGCTCAACTCCAGCGTGATCTCAAAACAGTTACTGCTCAGATAGTTAAAGTCTTGCATGCCTGAGAGACAGATAAGAGAACAAAGAAAGAAACTTATTTATACAGTGCATGTGATTTGGTACAGTTATGTAGCAGCAGATATGATCTGATAGTCCTTTGGGGATGAGCAAGTGATTTATACAGTCAAGTAGGGCTACATGTATTAGCTGGACAGTTGTGTGTGATATTTAATAGTCGTATGATGATAGGGTGAGGAGCCCAATATGAAGCACCACCCTCCTGTTTAACTACATTATATAACAGCAATACAGGCTTAACTGGTGAACACAAAACACCAAATTCATAAAAAAACAGATACATGTAAAATCTAGATCCAATCTTTAGAATAAAATGTTATAACACAAAAGAAATACAATATATATATATATATATTATTTAAGACTACGAAAACAACCAATAAGCAAATGCTGCTTATCTGAAAACAAACTTTTGAATAGGGTACTAGAAATGCAAATATGCATCCCTTCACACACACACACACACACACACACACACACACCTGCTCTACGAAGTTTACTGGTGAACTCAACACAAAACTCATCATGAGTCTTGCTATTTCTTTGAGTTTAAGAAATGTGTCAATTGAAAACAGTCATACTTCACAACTCAGAGTGGACAAATGACAATCACATGTCAATAAAGCACACTTAGCTGAAACTACTGGAAAGTAACATTATAGTCTAAATCTATATAAATATTAACATTACATTGGCTGATATTATTGTTTATCAGAATTATTAGCCCCTTCAAATTGGTATTGATCATAAACTTTTCATATCGGGTGGGCCCTAATATTGACACAGACATTCATTAGCTATCAAGAATACCTGGTATTTCAAAAGTGCTGGTCAATGTCGTAGCAAATAACTTGACACAATTGTTTGTGAATAATTAATGTATTATAATCAGTGTTTTAAATTCTGTTAACTGATAATTTGAAGTTTAATGAACTTGAAGTTTTAAGGCAGCAAAGTTACTTACATTTTTAAATTAAAAAATATAATTATTAATTAAGTATTGCTGGTCCTAAAATATTTTAAATATTTTACATATTCAAAACATCTATAAACACGTTTCCTACGTTTCTAAATCAACATTGTACAAGTTACTATTGCACTTAAATGTCAAAAAATACTAACGTAACAAATGATTCCAAATTTTATTTGAACATGTTGACAGATAGAGCATGTAGGGCTGTACCTCCAGGCACGCTGTACCAGGCCCCTCCATTGGTGATGCCCTCTTTGAAACTGGAGTCGTCATCATTCTTACGGCATGGCGGCCGCTTAGGGTCCGACATGACGGAGTTGTAGCTGGAGTACGCCTTGGCCAGGTTCTTAAACACCAAGTCATCAGGGCTTGCGCTGTACTCGTGAGTAGAGCCTACAAAGAAAAAGAAGAGGAAAGAGAGACATAAAGGGTGATAAAGAGTCATTATGCATTGCAAACTGTCCTGTTTAGTGTCCATAATTAGTGACATCAAGCTTTTTTTTTAACTTTTGGTAATGAGCAGGTAGGATAAAGTCGATATCAGTGCCAAAAGCTTGAACGTTAAACAGTAGCCTTTTATCCACTAAACAAGGAGGGAGAACATGTCTACACATTTAGTCACAACAGCACAAGCCAGTGAAGAAGTTAGCAGATTTGGCTTGCAAGCTATTTTCAGTGTTGAAATTATATAGTGTATAAAAGGCTATGAGTTAGATGGAAATGTTTTGGAACAACAAGAGATTGTCACAAAAAAGGCACATTTTTTTTATCCATATTTGTACTGATAGTTTAGACAGTTTTAAAGGTGTTGCAGGTTGAACTGCAAAGCCCACAATTTCAAATATATTTTAACAAAATGTGCTTTTTGTTATCTTAAAAGACCAAAATAATATCCAGACTAAACATTTTAGGTTAGGAACATATATTTGTCAGTACGGAATAACATGGAAACATAACGTGATAAACCTCTTCCATGTCGTACATCTATAATTGCACACTTACACACATAAACTCCACCTGCTGTAACATCTGCTACTCATTTCAAACCTTCAATTAAACTGTTCTTTCCTTTTTTCCCCAGTCCTCTGCTGCTCTTAAACCCTCCCTCATGTTTTTTACTGAGGCTTATAAATGTGGCTGTTAAACAGGTGTGGTTCTGTGAAACTAGGACCACAGGTATTTTAACATTTATGTGTTTTCCTACAGGCTTTGTTCAGACAGACAGATAGAAATAAAAAACTTCATTATAATCCCCATAGGGGAAAGTCAAATGCCACCATCCACAGGACATAAAATACAAAACAATACAGACAATTTAAAAACAGACAGATCCATACATTTTCTCAAAAGCTCAATAAAAAAGTTTGACAAAAGACCTGTTCAGTCGTTCAGCCAAACTTTTTGGCAGCAACAATAACTTACTCAGTGAACTCTGAAGACCACTAAAACCACTGTGTGGTGGAATGAGTTTCTAGCCCCAAGACAGTCTGCAGTTTTGCCCTTGTTCTCTTCTGTAATATGACCTCTAAAGAATCAGAGGTTAGACCACTTGTATTACCTGCTCTTTTGATCAACTTATTGATTCTGTTCCCCCAGCAAAGCACAGCATTAAATGAGGACACCTGCTACAACACCCTGAAAAAAAAATCCTACTCATGTCAAACTACCTCATAAAGAATTATCTGCACTGGGCTTTCCTAAATACAAAATCAGAGTTGTATTTCCAGTTCAATTTGCTATTCAAGTGGACACTAAGATACTTAAGTCTAAAAAATGTTAAAATCAATAATTATTTCTTTGAGTCCAACAAGGGCAGAATCATCTGAAAATATCTATAGAAAGCAGTTCTTGGCTATGTCTACAATCACCTGCCTACAGGGTAAAAAGGTAATCCTGTTCTCCTTTGAACTTTGTCAGACAACTTCTTTCAATTTCTAACAAACAGAATAATATGAAGAACCACCACTGTGAAAGCTCCTGTTTTGGGTCAAAATGTATGTGTGGACCTCCCCACAAACCAATAAACCCTCAGCATGTCTGCTTGTGCTGTGCCTGCTCATGCTGTGGGTAAAGTGAGAGGGTGCGTGGGTTCTCACCGCTGCGAGTTTCGTCATATGGGTAGTTGGCCACCACGTCTCCTCCATGAAGGTTGGCCGACAGCACAAACGGAATGTCCATGATCCAGTGAATCACTGCCTTTGTCTCAGGAGCGAGCTGCACATACACAAACGCAGAGATGACACTTCTTTTTTACTGGTAACAGCACACACTTGTCACAGGAAGTCTGAAGCACTATTCAGACCATATTGGTTTTACATGAGGAGGGAGGAAATCCAATTTTACCACAATACGTCTATGTTTTTGACCAATTCTCATGGGACAAAAAATCTTGCAGTGAATTACAGAGATGGGAGTAGCTACTCAAAAACTACCCACTTCTGTCACATCAAAAACGTTCTATGTGCAATATGCTATAAGTATATCCAAACATTTAATCATAGTTTTGTTTAATTTAACCATCTAGCTGTGTTAAGCAAATGCAGTGTCATTAACGCCTGTCTTACACATACTACCTCCGTGTGACATGAGCGACATGGCAGCATGACTTCTAAGGCTCGCATGCACTGGACATTCCCATACAGCAGCGGTAGCGCTGCCAAGTGGTGCAGCAAGACAGTTCTACATACATCCTTTCTCCAAACCGATACATAGCCAAATCAGCCACTCTGCTCAATATACATATACTTTGTAAAAGAGCTCAGTAAATTTGTTTACCCTTTCAGCATTCTGACAAGTGATTGTGTAATCGTTCCAAGCCTGGCAGACCAACTAAGAAATCTGTATGCAGCACAGAAAGTTTAACTAATACTTTGTTTGATAACGGTCATGAATTAAAAAATTTAATTAAATTAAAGTTAACAAGTTGTTATTTGGTTTACTGTTCAATTTTCATTGATTTTAAACTTTTTTCCATGGATGTTCTTTTTGCCTGGTGTGTGCTGGCTTAGGGATTTACATTCATATCTCAACATTGCAGCATGAATTCAAACTTTTTTTTACATGAAAACTACTTTTCCACAGGATACGATGAAATATTCAACAACATTATAATTTGCACATTATTATTATGACCTGGGGTTTGGTTTATAATAGGCAAAAGGTGCTGAAATCTTTAATGATGTAGGACAGCACAGTCTGTGAAAATTACTGACATGGCAGATTCTGACTAGAGTAAAATCTAAATCTAAAACTAAAGATTAGTAAGCGCTGTGTATTTGAAAGAACCTGGCGATACGATACATATCACGACCCACGGGTTACGATAAAATTTATTGCGATGATGTGCGATACTGTGATACTGTAAGCAAGCTGATATACTGCAATTTTTCAAATCTAATTTTAGTATAAAAAACACACCACTATATGCATAAAATCTGAGTAACAGAAAAAGTTCACTAAAAGAAATAAAACAAAAGTTTGTTTTTACCTTCTTGTACATTTTGGGCACAGTGATGTCAGCGATGTGTTGTCGGGAGGGTAAGTTATGTATGTAACGAGACTCTGTTGTATTCATCATATTACTGAAGCCTTGTTCTGACTCATTGTGCTGTTATAGGCAGCTCCCTACACAAAACCATACGTAGGGCATTCTGACAGCCTAAATCACACAAAGCTGAAGTCCGTTCCACCTTAAACAGCGCTGTAGTTACATTCTGGTGCCCAAGACCTTGTAATAATAACTGCTGCACAATTTCTGACTTAAGCCTCGTCTAAATCTCCTTATCAAAAAATGTTACCAGCATTTAAGTAGGATATTTTACGTAAATCAGCTTATCAGGGGTAAGTTAGTAATATTAAGCTGGGCAATACAACAGACTGTACAGTACACTCTAAGTAAGGCTGAGTTAACATTAAAAACACAAGCTGCTATGCAATAGTAATGAGCTTGTTCGATTGGTAGGACATATTGTTAGAACACCGGTCTAAGTCTTTCAGATTCAGCCATCGGTGGTAACATTACTAGTCAGCTAGGTTTGCTAACGCTAACGTTAGTGGTGTTTACATTAGAGTGGAAGAGTCTAATGTCTGAATATAGACATTACATCTCTGCATGGGAATCTTTGCATGTAAAATATAAATTGATACTGTGTTTTTGAGAATTGATACAGTATCACAAAACATAATATTGCGATACTCAAGTGTATTAATATTGTCTTACACCCCAAACAGTTATACTACCCCACCTCACCATGAACAACTAATGCCATTCAAAAACTACTATCATGATGCAGTTCTTTAGAAAAAGAAGAACTCTCTGACGTCATGATTCAATTGCAATCATGATTCTTTAGGAAGTGACTCAATGCATCATGAAATCTCATGTTTTACCATGTTTCACGTTGATTAGATTCAATCTGATTTTATTTATGTAATTCAGAATTATTCCACTGAATAAACAAATGGGACTGGAGGAACCATTTCCACAGTCGTAGAACATATAAAACACAAGACACCAAGTCTTTTTTGCAGGAATTGTTATTTAAAAATTCCGTCCAAAAATAAGGGCATATTGAATATTGCTATTATTGATTTTAACATTACAAGACCACTAAACATGATTTTCCTCCTTCAGATCACAGCATCATGATGCATCAATTCATTTTTACAACCCTATTTTTTAATTCTGTATTATCCTTTATTGCAAAAAATACAGTATTGTGCAGAAGACACAAGTTCAAAACAATTTCTACTGGCAGTAAGTGTGTTTGCCTGTACATTATTATGCTATTTAGTTTAGTTTAATGCATTTATCTGTACTTATTCTAATATTAGTGTTGACCAAATAAATGGTTACAAGAGATTTACACATAGTAAGATGTAAGATGGCCATTTCCATAATAATGTGGATGAGGTTTTCATCTCTGAGTCTATTACTTTTTAGTAGTCTAAATCTCTCACCTTGGTATTTTCATCTACAGCTTTCTTCATGTTCTTCAGCAGATGGTTGTTAGCTCCTCCCTCTCTCTCGTTCATGTAGACGATGCGGTCAAGGTCCGGAAAGTTCCGGTTCAGATCGATACCCTGAGCGTTGGTGCGGCCCACGAACCAGTCCTTCATCTCACCAGACTACACGCATACAGACACAGATTCCAGCCTTCAGAACTGTATGTCTATAGCTACTTATTGGTGGTAACTGATCCCATTATACGTAAACTACTTTGAGTGTCTTGAAAATGGGTAAGTCAATGAAATTACATTCAATCATTAACATGCACAATCAAACATACAGACCAGTAACAAAAAACAACATCAAGTATCTTACTAAGGTGTTTGGCCACCACAAGCCCAAAAAGCAGCCTCTGTGCTTCCCTGGTATAGATTCTACACATTTCTTAAACTATACTGCAGGGATAAAACACCATTCTTCCGAACAACATTCCTTCTGTTATTGTTTTGACGTGGTGGTGGTTAGCACTTTCAAAACACGTCAGTCCAAAATCTCCCATATGTGTTCAACTGGGTTGAGATTTGGAGACTGTGAAGGGCATAACATGTTTTAACACAGGATAAATAGGAAACATTTCATCATAGAATAAAGGTGATCAGTTAGAATAACTTGGTATTCATTTGCAGTGACTCTTTACTCTATGGGGGCAAGTGGATCCAAACCATGCCACTAGCCACATATGGCATAACAGAGCCTTCTCACTGTATGGGCCAAGAATTCAGGCTTGTACTGTTTTCTTGGTGTACGCCACATATGCCCTTAGATTATGGTGATGGATGACTCATCTCACCATACCTTTTTTTCTACATCTCTGTAGCCCAGTGCCTTTTTACACCAGTCTGTGTAATAAGGGGTTTACACACTGCACCCTTATTATGAATCCCTAGTTGTAGTAGTTGTAAAACTACTTCTCCTAGTCACCCAAGTAAAGGTTGCTCTTCTGCTTTTCCTTACATGTAACTCTACACTGACCACAATCTCCATCCCTATTTACTGATGTATTCCCAGAGATCTAAATACAGATGTCACTGTAGTCATTGTAGTCACTGTTTCTATAAGAAGGTTTTTCCTTTAATTTGTCACTCGTCTGTATATTATGCCAGATATACATATAAGTTATAGCAAATTAAGGTAATTATTCACAGCAAGCATTTGCATCAAATGCACATGTGAGCTTGTGTTCAGTACATTACTGGTTATTACCTGTGAGGCTGCTTTCTCAAAGCCATCGGGGTTCATGGAGGGCATGATGTGGATGCGCGTGGAGTGGATCAGGTTGATAATGGTGTCATTGCCCTGCTGGTACTCGTTACAGAGATACTGGGCCAGGTAGATCAGCAGCTCCCTGCCCACAGCTTCATTGCCATGCATGTTTCCAATGTACTTAAACTCCGGCTCACCTACAACACACACAAAACGTACACAGAGTTAATACGGGTTTACTAGTTTGAACCATGCCTTCAAATTATCACACAAGAGACTGAATGACTGTATGAGGGAAGAGAACTTCTGCTGGCTGCTGAAGGCCATACCCCTCATGGATGAACAGAGGCAAGACTGAGGAGCAGGGAGGAAATGGGGTGGTGGTGCGGTGTGAAAACATCATAACAAGAAACAGAAGGCAGATAAGATATTAGACTAGAAGGTATAGGATATTAGACTGGAAAGACGTTGCTATGCATTAGTGTAAAATTTTTCCCTTTCTAAAATCTGTGTGCAGTAAACGCACTCTGTTTAAAAGTCACACAGACACACACGTGCGCACACACTGTCACTAACTGCCATGTTAGAAGCAGATTATCTTATAGGTCAGACACAGGAACAAGTCTGAACAACACTGCTAAGTCATCTGTGTGCATGTCTATGACTAACATCAAGCCTGCCTGCTTACAGCTATAAATGCCAGGCGTGTCTCCTTATAGCACAAACAACATTTTTCTTTCTTAATTCACCAATTTTTCTAGCAAAATTACAGCTTAATCCATTTGTGGCTGAGTCTGGCACAGACATTCTGCCAACTAGCAAAAGAGGTTTCTGTAGTCAAAGAAGGCTTACATAGCTAAATAAGGGTTGTTCTTTTAAATTAAAATAAATAAATTAACTTAGTTGTTCTTGGCTACTCTGACCCTGAGAACCACCCTTAATAAATTCAGACGGCTTGTCAAAACTCTAAATGCCTGAGACAAGTCATTTCATAAACACTCCACAATTCAAACATATGAAACACTTTGGGGCAGTTTCCTGGATATGGATTAAGTCTAGTTTTGGACTACACTGAAATTCATTTTAGTCTAAGATTTGGCTTAATGTGGGTCTGGGAAACAGGCCATTTAATTTTAAAATATTTAATAAATTCAGGATGTTAAAAAATCATATATATATCTTGGTAACATACATTTATTACTTTGTTTGACTAAATGACCTCACTATAGTTATATCTAGATTGTGTCAGGTGCACCTAGATGACGGATTAACCTAACCTGTAAATCTTGTCCCGTATGTCAACAACTCACCATATGTCAAGTTCACACACACATCAGCACTGAAGTATAATACAGTGGTATGTTAAAGACTAAACTGTTCACTAGAAGTTAATGAAAACAAATCTTAATGAAGATAAGTCTTTACTGCTTATGGCTACTGTGAAATGCTAAAAGAATGTCTATGTTAAAACAACGTCTTGCAAACATGACAAAGTGTGTTTTGATTGGTCTGTTTTGTTCTGTTTTTCTCCCTCAAAACACCAAAGAGAACCCTACACTATATGTATAACTAGTCTCACTTTATTTGAATAGCCCCTATTTAGATTATCTAAATATGATTATATGATGAATGATGATATGATGAATATTATGAATATAACTGTTGAAAGTTGAATATCAACAGTGTTAGTGTTAGGGTTAGGATAGGACCAGGGTTTGGCTTAGGACCATGGTGAGGGTTAGGTTTGCATTTTGAGTTGAGGTTAAGGTTTGGGTTAATTAGGGAAAATAAAGGATAATTAATAGCAGAATGTAAGTTAAATGCAAGATAAGCATCTACGAAGCATCTACAGTAGGCTACCCAAATATAGTGCTACCATACGACTTCCTCTTTACACTACTGTACGTTCAAAAGTTTGAGTAAACACTTGCCTGTCCAGTGTTTTTTTCTGATATCAAGGGTACTGATGAGGAGTTTGTCCCTCTTTGCTGCAGTAAGAGCCTCTACTCTTCTGGGGAGGATTTACACTAGATGCTGGAGCATTGCTGTGAGGATTTGATTGCATGGAGCCGCAAAAGCAGTGATGTAACTGTATACTGACCTTGGTCTGGGCTGTTTCCATATACTGACTTCTAAAGATGTGCTTTTGCATGTGTTTTCTTATTCCAAGACGCATCACAAGTCAGAAGCAGAATAACATCACAGACGAGCTTCACAGAGCACAGTGTCATTGGTCAGTTCCATGATTAATAAACAATTTTCTTTGGTTCATTTTCATCTGCTTCTACGAATACCACCACAAAACACCACCGTGTTAGAGTCTCCTGCAGTCAGTCAAAGACATGCTGATATGATCTGAGGTAAAAATAGACATATTGTGATTTAAAACTCCTGTAAATGTGGATTCTGATAAATATTAGGGTGAAGTGCTGGTCTAGCATACTAGCAGAACAACATGTTAACTAATCTTGGGTAAGGTTTGCCAACATCAGCTTCTTGAAACTGCACCAGCGCATTAGTGAGGTCATTTACTGATGTTAGATAATGAGCTCTGGATCGCCAAAACGCCACTTCAATTCATCCCAACGGCATTACATGGTGCTCCATCACTCCAAACAACAGAGCATACTATTCTATTGGCAATGCTTTTCTATGGAGATTATTCAAGCCATGTACATACAACTGAACGCCAGTGTGTCAGCACTGGGTGAATTCACTAATTAAAAGGGCTCTTTTGGATATAAATGTTTTTATGCTTTTGAAGTTTTTATGTATTCTGAACTGCACTTTCAAAACAGTCTGAAACACCCAACAAATCACATCTATAAGTATCACTAAAACAAAGTCAATATCGTTATGTAACACAATTGCAAATGATAAATGAACTCCCAGCTTTAGCTTTAGTTTTACTATTAGAGTACTTTTACTATTTGCTATTTACTATTAGAGTAAAAAAGGTAATCACTGGTAATTGCACATTTAAATACTCAACTGTAACTATACTTAACTGCAGTAAATCTAATTAAATAGGACTGTGCTCTCTTTGTAAAGGCATATGCATTTTGTCTGTGTTCTTCAAGTAACGATATCCACAAAATGCTCAGAAAAGCGTATCGTGATTTAGTATTATGATGTGATAAAATATTGTCTTATTGCCCACCTGTATTGTGCAGTTTCTCAAGTATGGGGAAATGAATTACACTGGAAAAATTTTTTATTAAATTTTCTTGGCTCAAACGTGTCTCTTCCACATGAGTAAAACACATCACATTCATTTTATCTCTACCTACTTTTGACTGGTTTGATGTAATGTATTGTACTCATGTGAAAACAGCCACATTTTCAATAAGAGATAATTACAGTGCTTTTTAATGCTTAGCGATAAGGTAGTGATAATGTGGTGTATCATTGTGCATGCCTGTGTAAAATGTTCCAGAAGGTATCGTGCTTGTTCCGGATCACCTGACCCAGTTTTACGCTGCTGGCTAATTGCATGGGCTAACTCTCCCTCTCTCCCTCTCTCCCTCTCTCTCTCTCTCTCTTTCTCTTTCTCTCTCTCCCTCTCTCTCTCTCTCTCTCTCTCTCACACACACAAACACAGATGCACACACACTCAGACACACAGACTGTCCCTGTCCATCACACACACGTACACAGCAGGTGGAAAACAAACACTTAGTACTCACGCAGCAAACAGGAAGACAGCAATCAACATACACAACACAAGCATGCACATAAAGTATGCCTGCTATTCCAGTCCAGTAATGAGCCCACAAACCAAATAATGAGCTGCCTTAAGAGTCACATCAGAGGGCAGAAAATGTGATCCAGTTCTGTACCTGAGAAAATATCATTTCAAGAGATTTAACTAGCCCAAAACTAAAAATCAGTCCAGAATGATTATCCCATTATATATAAAATCCCATTATATATATAAAAAGTCAGACTCATGCCTAAAAAAAATCTGAGCGGGAGGTTGGTATAAAAAAAGGTACATACTTAGATTTCAAACCACTCTAACTAGACAGTAGTCTCAAAACATCATCACATTTTACTGTAGTGCGATAAAATAAAGTTTTCCTTCTTAATGTAGCAAAAAAAACAGTGATTTCATACATTTGTATGCTCGCTTTTATATAATTTCCTGAATCATGTTATTAATTATGTAATGTGATTATATTTAGGATCTTTGACAACTTTATTGATCTTTTGGAATGCATTATTTTGTTTTGTTTTTATGACCATGTGATGCATCTTTGAGGGTAAGGAAATGTCCCAGTTTCCCCTTTCAGAATTCTATGTGTCTGTCTACCTATATAGCTAGCTACATTCCTACAAATGTGCAAGTTGGCTAGCTATAAGTTATATCCATCATAAGCAAATGCACTGTTTTGCCATTATTTTCTACCACCTATTATCACAAATATGTCATAGGAATTATAACAAATCAGAAAGATTTGGTTTAATTTTATACAAATAAGGTTGCAAGAACAGCTAATAGCACTAATCTTAACCACTCTTTACATACAATGTTTTACATCCACATGTGATCATTCACGATTGACAGTAAATATAGATACAGTTAGCAAATCTGTTGTGGTCAGTGCTAAACTAATGAATAAGAAGATGGATAAGAGTCATTAAATGTGGCTCAAGACAGTGCTGAGTAATTCCAATGAGAAAAATAGCACTGTGCAATTATATTGCAAGATACTGCAATTGCAATAAACCTCGCAATATATTAAAACAAAAAATAAGGTTAATGTTTGGCTTGGTTCCCCAAGACAGTCTAGATTTTTGCTTTTTTGCTAGGTTGGCCGGATTGTTACACACCAAGTATGATTTTGTTAGACAAAAATAATGGATGTGATTTCAAGGACCAAGTCCAAAGCACATTTCTGTCTAAACACTCTGAAAACGGTTTTTCTTTTAAGCACTGCAACTAAACAGTGCATACACTTGGTACAGCCCACATACGGAGTCCCACCACCTCTTACAAGAGCGAGCTAAAGCTGCATAACAAGCGATTCTGCAGGTATTTCCTCAGGTCAGAAGTGGAATTCAAGGCTCTGCTTCTGCTTTTTGCACCTCTCATGAAAAAGGAGCGAATGAACTACGGTTAAACACACTCACTGCCATTCATAGCCTTTAAGCTCTCGTCCGCCACATATTGTCTTTAACCCTCGCTCTTTTTTAG